CGTATTGCCACGAGATAGGTCCTGATATAGGCTCTCATCAGTGCTCGGTCAGATTCAGAGTTACTAGCCCTCCAGTGGCACTCTAGGCATCTCTTTTGGCATTTCATCTCCTGGAGCTCCTTGGTAAACCAAGGAGCCCTCCTGGATCCACTGCCTCAGAGAAGCCGTAAAGGCGCAATCCAGTCTAGAGCCCCCGCCGCCGCTGTGTTTCAAGCAGCGACTAAGGACTCTACCGGACTGTGGACGAGAGCGACAGGTATTTCTCCAAGCGCCGTCTGAAATCCCATCAGGCGTCTGGGGCGGAACCACCTAATCGGTTCCCCCTCCCTACAGCGGGGGATTGGTTTCCGAAAGTCAAGCCTCAGTAGGACATAATAGAGTTGGAAGAACATAATAGAACATAATAGAGTTGGAAGGCACCTTGGAGTCTCCTATTCCAAGCCTCACTTGAGTTGGAGACCCTATACTATTTCAGAAAAATGGTGATCCAGTCTCTTCTTAAAAGCCTCTACTGATGGAACACCCACAACCTCTGAAGCCCAGAAGGTGCCCAGAAGTGATAATCAAGAAGATTTAAAAAAAACTGGAAGAAAATAGTGAATAAAAGATTTAGCCTACAGAAGGCAAGACATGGTGGAGGAAAGGTGATATGACAGCATCTTGAGAGCTGTTTGGAAGATGGGCAAAATTTTTCAACGTTGTTCAAGGGGCTTAAATGACATGGATTTTGGACATCACCAGGAAAAAAAGTCCCCAGCAGTGGAGCTGATCAGCAGACTCTGCTTTGCTGGAAGTATTTAACGGAGCCTGGATGGGCACCTGCTACTGGGAGGGGGGGGGTTAAAAGTGAGGCAGAGCTCTGGGTTCCCCCACCCCAGGCTCTCTTTATGCTCTACAGTCCTCTGACTCTTCAGTCTCAGCCCTTTCAATACACATTGCCTGCCCACTTCTGCAGCTGGAACATGGGGTTTTTGACAAAAGAAGCAGACCTTTGCATCCAGTTTGAAGTTTGGTGCATCCGAAGCCCCCTCCCATGGCTTGCCGGAGTGGTGCCTAGAGGCAGGTTTTTAAGGGAATGTACAACAGCCGCACTCTGAAGCTTTCCTTGCCTCAGTTGACTGTTGTCTTGCATTTGTCATTGTCTAGACTGTAACCTCCTTGGAAGAGGAACTTTCTTGCAATCATTTACAAAGTGACGCATTTAGGAATGTTGCTCTTCTAATAAATTAGCCACCACCAGAGACAACTGCAACTACTGCCTAACCGCCTCCAGCAAATTGCATCTAGTAAGCCATAGACACACCGACACACACAATTCCCTGGGCCATGGCAGTCGTGCTGTTATGGGTGGGGGCTGACCTAATATGCTAATCAAAGGTGATCCTGCCTGTATTGCCTGGGCCGGTGGCCAGGGATGGAGACCAAGGACGACAGCGTTTTTACAGCCTCACTGAAGCAGCTGTAAGGACTGAGGCCAGTCTCCACTGCCATTGGATAGCAAGGGTCCACTGGCTTGAAAAGCTGGGTATTGCAAACCTGGGCAGCTCCCTCAGCATCGTCAGAAATGCAGCTTGCACCAGAAGCTGATCTTTTGCAAGGAGACCAATGGGGTTTAGAGAGAGGCTCTGTCTTACCCTCCTGAGCTGCTGCCTTTCAGACAGAGGGACTCCCAACAGGAGCTGTTTTGCTCCAAGCGCCAATCATGCTCTCTCTCGTTGTAGGCAGAATGCACCATTCCACTTTGAGAGCAGCTATGCCTGGACTCAGGCTCACAACGGGCCCGGGGGACACTACTGGCTGCTGGGGACGGAAGAGGAGGGCTGCATTTAAAGGGTGTTGGGGGTTCCATTTCTCTCAGGGCTCCAGCCGTTTCATCTTTACCTTGGCTCCCAGTGGGCAGCCCAGCCAGCCGGCTGCACCTTGGCTCTGGGCCCCGTTCCTGCAGAGGACTCCGCCTGGCTAGGATTTAGCAATTACTCCACCAGACACCAGCGCTAGTCGGTCATTAGTCTAATGCGACACCTCAGCTTGAGCGCAGAGTCAGTGACACTGAAAACAGAGCATGCTGTGCCAAAAGCAGCAGGAGCCCAAATGCCAAAGCTGGCTGTGCCTTTTCTGGACAGGCTGCCTTTCTTTACGTGCCCCATTGCCCAGACAGCTGAGTTCTCCAGACTCCTGCAGCCAGGAGGGGGGCATCAGATGGGAGAAAGTTGCCTGCTAGTGAAGAACAACTAATCACCCCCTGGAACCTCCCTTCCCCCCCTCTGTGTCTCACAAAAATGGGAGGCTCAGGAAAACAGGCAGCTTCCCACCTTGAAACCACACAACCTGTAAAGAAGCTGCAACTTTGCCCCCCCCCCGAAAAAAACCCTATAGCCTGATTGACGACCTCGGTTGGTTCCCCCCAATCCAGCCTCCAGCACTTTCTTGTAATCCATCCCTGGGAACTGTCCATGTGCCTCCTCACCCCAATGCAAAATGGAAATGGGGGACTCTTGGCGCTTTCCCAGCTGCCTCCCCCCCAATTCTTTCCCCTGAAGATTTAGTATAACCAGACACCAGCAACGTGCTGCATTCAACCCTCAATGGCATTTTAGAACCAACGTTCCGATGCAGCCCTCTCTGGCTTCAGCGCCTGCCCTAATTTTCAAAGGTGTTTTCAAATTTCTTGTCTGATGGGAAATCCTGGGGGATTTCTTGTGCAGAGGCTTCATCTGTCATTTTGATTGATGCTATAAAAATCTTGCCCAACCATGGATTCTTAGGTACAATTTATTCATTAGCAATGCCTAACTATCATTGTGAAATCTTCCTGGTCACCATGGCTGCCTTTTTCAATTGGGTGTCATCCCCCTGCCCCCCCCACCAGATATGGTAAAATATAGCCACGTTATCCCTGGGCAAGTCCAGAAATGATGGCATTTGTAGTCCAATCCATTGGAAGAGCTACAGGGATGAAGAGAAACTGCCCTTGGAAAATGTTATTTTCCAACTCCTGGATTAAGTTCTTAAGTTGTCTTTTTTTTTTATTAAGAAAGGAATGAAAAGAGATGAATTTGGGCAGAGCCCCCACTTCTCCTACAAGAAAGTTGGAAGCAAAGTTAGGAACTCTCCCTGGCTTTGGCAAATCATTTGAGATTTCTGGGAGCCGCCAGCACAGCCTTGACTGGCTCAGCTCTTGGTTTCTGGAAACTTTTGCTTCCTTTTCAGGAGCTCTCCCGGGAGAGAATGGCCTTCCGGATCATCTGCTCCTCTTTCCTTTTCATTTAAATTTAATTTAAATTTTGTTTTAATAATTTAATTTCCTTGTCATCGCAAATCACGATGAAGCATGCCCGGGACAACCGTGCAACACAACCAAGCACACAACTAATTGCTATAGGATTATGACTTGCACCCCATTTCTGCAACATATGAAGGAGAAATGAGACCCTCAGTGAATGAGAAAGAGGAGAGTTCCACCCTCGTTCTCTACTCTTTCGCTCGCATGTCAGTGGTTACCACTGCATTATCTATATTGTCCTGAAGGAGACTGAAATATAAAAGAGAAACTTCCGAATGACAGCTTGGTGTTTACTTTGCAAGCTGGTCTATGGCAGGTTTCCCAACTTCAGCAACTTTAAGACATGGAGACTTCGACATGTCGGCTGGGGGATTCTGGGAGTTGAAGTCCACATATCTCAAAGCTGATGTGATTGAGAACACCGGACTGTTGCACAGCTTTCCTTTGGGAATCACCTCCCTGAAACCTTGCAAAGCTGTAGCTTTTAATACACCAATGAATGGCAGGAGGACATTACTCTCCCACCCACTTGCCTCCCTGTTTTTAGCCCATTCCACTTCATTTTTATAAGCACTTCCCTGGGTGCCCAGAACCTGCCCCATCATGCTTCTACCCTTTTAGCCAAAAAAGGCTATGCCAGCCGCAAGGTGCCGGATTTTGTGCTTGAGCTTGTACAGCCAATCTAAAGAATTTCTGACTTTAAATGGTCTATTATATTTTGTTTCTGCTGCTTTTTAAGTATGCCCCCTTTATGCAATGGTTGGGATCATAAAAAGCAGATATATGACGCAGAGGCCATGACATCTCACTTGGCATCTCACTTTTGCCAGCTCTCTGGAAAAGGTATTGAGCAAAATCTAGCCTTCCCTCAAAGAGCATTTTCCCCACTAGGACTGGTGAGAT